GGATGATTAAGTCAATTTAAGAAAGAATTTCCCAGACTTATACTTCAGTGGGATAGGCTATCATTCAGTATTATCAGATTCCGAGGACAATGGCTATACTAAGGAGTCCATTCAATGACGGGCCAGGAACAAAATGAGGGATGCTGTCAGAAGGATTCCTACCTTGGGGTGCAGTGGACCTTGTGGCCCATCAGCTTCTATCCAGTTGGCCGAGAGACCAATGACATCTTGTTTTGCGGACTTGCATAATCAAAATTTACAAGGACACTTATTTCAGAAGAAACGTCCACTAAACTTCTAAGGATGATACCTCTGATTCGGGGGAAATCAAGAATATAGCCCTTGTTTGTTTCTCATCCCATCCGTTTGTCCACTGACCTGACACCTAGTCATAAACAAATTGACTAAAAATAAGAGCTGGTCTAATAATATTTCCTAAGCCTTTCAACTTTGCCATCTCATGACAAGTAACATTTTAGTATATACTCTTGTCACTTATGTGATTGTAAAACTAGGGCAGAATCTGGTTTGTTCAGTGGGGGTAGGGGGGATAAGTTATGGCTTTAATTCAGCCAGGGTCTCAAAAGTCATTGAATCCAGAATGAGGGAGTTGGCTCTGAGTAGACATTTTCATAATCTCAGCTTCTACATACTCCATGTCTTGGAGTTTTCAAGCATCCAACCTCTCTCTTTATCCCTCTCACCTCCCCCAAGCCAAGAAAGATGTAGCCAAGGGATGAGCTAGAACCCGGGTCGGCAAACTATGGCTCAAGAGCCGTATGCGGCTCTTTCAGTGGGTACTTGTGGCCCTGAAGTAAAATTGAACATTTTAAAGGGTCTTATTCAGATATATATTCAAATATATTTATGTATTTTATAAAATATATTCATGGCTCTCAAATAATTTTTTAATTGTTGTGAGGCACAAAATTGACTCTTGTCTCCAGTTTACTGGCCCCTGAGCTAGAAAAATAGCTCTGAGCTTGCAGCCAAAATATGGACTGTAGTAAGAAACCTGGCTCTTATTAAATATCTATGTTTTGCCCAAGGAGAGGTGGACACTAACAGTCTGATTTCAGACTCTTTGACTAGAACTGGAAATTCCCCAATCTGAATTGTCATAGCATTTTCTGGAAAAGTTTAAATCCAGCTGTATGGACAGTAAAAAAAATTCTATGAGGGTCACTTGGGGGGAGCCCTGTTAAAAAAGTAGATTCTGATCCAGAATATCTGGGGCGGAAATTCAAATTCTCAGCATCGTGTCGAACTGAAAGGTCTGTTCTCAGTCCTGGGTACGGAATCACCTGGGATGCCAGGGGCCCAGCCCCAAGCTTCAGATTTAACTGTTCTGCAATGGGCTCTGGACAGTGTGTTGTTGTTTTTTAAGCCCTCTGAGGGCCATTGAAAACTGCAGGCCATTCACTCCCCAAGCTCAATGGGAGACCATAACAAGTTCCCCCTTTTCACTTTTGACACCAAACTGTTTTGACCCATCCACATTGATTTAGTATCTACTGTTTCCTTCGTTCCCACTTTTGTTCTGACACCAGCAGACCTAACCACCTAGACTTGATCAGACCTCACAAGTTAAAGGATTCAGACCTCCAGACGGCAAATCCATCCAAGACCTGGGAGACCAGCTGTGAGTTGCGAGTCCACAGTCTTCCCTTCCGGTCCCTCACTCCCATTGCGTCAGTGCTGGCTCATAGCAAACCCCTGTGGGTTTCTGAGATTACAGAGTAGAAAGCAGTCTTTCTCCCAAAGAGCTGCTGGTGGTTTGGAACTGCCGACCATGCAGAATGAAGCCCAACACATAACCACTAAGGTCTCTAGCCCCCTACCTGCTCACTCCCATTACTCCTTCAGGTTTGATTATTCAGTTAAACAATTCACGGAACTCAAGGAAAGTGCTATCCTTGTGACTACAGTTTTATTATCACACACACACAAAAAGGTACAAATGAAGAGATGAACAAGGCCCAGTCTGGCCGGCCTCCTGACAGCCCATAAACTGCAGAATGCAGTGCCCTCCCTTGCATCATTCCTCCCGCCGGCCAGGAAAGCCATGGCGCTTCCATGTCCAAAGCCTTTATTGGGCTTTGTTGTTCTTGATTGAATCAGCCCACCTCCCTGAAGTCATTTATCATGAGGTGGTCTATCTCTTTCTGGCCGGCCTACGCCCACCTGAGTCGCCTTATTAGCATAAGCTCTCAGGTGTTATCTGAGGCTTCATCAAAGGCCCTTCAATAATGAGGAGCATGTAGGTTTTAGGGAAACCAAGAAGGAAAACGAAATTATTGGAGTAAACTTCATTTAAACCCAACCAGTATTCTAATAATAGCTTTATTTGACCACCAGCTGTGTGCCATGGTGTTTCAAAAAGTCCAGAGGAGGATAAAACCATTAAAGTAGCAATAGTCACTTTGTGTTTCTTTTGCAGAGTTAGGGTAAGGGAATAGTGAGTTTTGTCAAACACTATCTACCTTTTCACTTAGGTTCTAATATTCGTTGCAATGGCTACACAGAATTCACAGGCAATATTAATGATTGCAGCGTTTATCAAAGAAGTTAATGGGTTGTAACGCAAGTGAGACAAGCTCGAGATAGGGTAGTTTTCCAGAATTCTTTGAGGGCTGCTAATGAATATGCTCAAGGGCATTTCACTCACTCAGCTGTAGCCCCAACCAGAAGACTTTCAGCTCAACCTCCCCAAATTCTGTGGGTCTGCGAACCCAGCTCCCTGGGTCAACTCCCCCAATTAAGCACCCAGAGACATCCCACTTCCCAAGCCAGCCTCCTGCACAAAAACACGTACTTGCTCTCTGGAACTGGAAGTCCACCTGTGTTCTAGGCTTCGGCCTGCATTCTGCTGCTGCTCCTCTGGTGTCAGCGCTGCCCTCTGGATCTAGGAATTTCACTGTGCAGGGAGGGGTCTTAGGGCCCTGCGAATGCACCCCACTCCCGGCTTTCGCTGGTGGCGACTTCCCAGAGTTCCCAGCGCCTTCACTGAGGGCTCGTTTTATACCCAGCAGGAAGGCAACCCTGTGGACCCTGTTTGCAATCAGTCACAGGTGAATCCTATCAGTACGTCCTCTCACCTTAACCACCGACACTGGAAAAGGTGGTTTGGTGGGAGTTGGGGTCTGTGTCTAGAAGAGCCACATTAAATAATTCACTGTCCCTGCAAATAGTACAGTTCCTTTTTCGACAGGTTTATTTCTAGAATACCTCAAAGCTCACTTAACAGCAGAAGCAATAACTAGTATTTCTGGAGTCCTCATTGTGTGCCAGGAATTGTGTCAAATAGGTAATCAGAGCTTCACATTTATTCCATTTTCATTCTCACAGCAGCCCCCCACAAATGAGCACCGTGTTCTTGCCCTAAATATGAATGAGGATCCTGAGGTCCAGAGCAGCTCACCTACTGCCGGAGGCTGTACAGAGTGTGGTGTTGAATTCAAGCCCATCTGGTGCTAGGATGTCACTGAGCCTCTAAACCCAGGAAAGGAACAACTTCTCCAAGCAAAGTCCTGGAAAATAAGGACAAGATGTCTTAAACTTTGGCCTTGAACTCTTTGGAAAGTGGGGTGCATTCTTGGGTGTATCAAGAGCTCCTGTACATTCATTCCCAAGCTGCTTAGGCATAGCTGAGGCTGAGAGGCCAGTGAATGAATCTTTCCTTGCCTACTGGAGACAGTATTTTAGAGTAGCTTTTACTTTTAGCACCTCATCCAGCAGGACTTACCCCCTCTCTTAGTCTTCCTAATACCTAACACTTCTGCTGCAGCAACAATACTTCATTGTTGCTCAAAAACTAAATGCTTAGGGCAAAAACCTACCCCCCTGGTCCTTATTGTTAATTATGAGTATGCCAACGTATTTTCTCCATCTTTGAGCATGTAAAAACCTGATAGGTTCCAGTTTCCCGAAACACACACACCATTCCACTGGGATAATAAGTCTATCAAAAGGAAGGCCAGCTGTGTGGTGAATAGGCAGTGTTATCTTCCCAAAAGGGGAACTGGCATGCCCAATATTCATTATCTACTAAATACTAGCAAAGCGCCCACTCATTGAACACTTACTAAACGCCAGGCTCCCAGCTAAGCTCTTTACATCCTGCCTGGTAGTCCTCATTTTATAGATGAGAAGATTGAGAACCAGAGAGTGGAAGCTACTGGCCCTGGGTGACGGAGCTAGTGATGGAGCTAGTGATAAAGTGTCTGTTTGTTTGTTTCTGGTTTGGTTTGTGTTTTTGCTCCCTTGGGAGCAAAGCTTCAAGAAACAGGCTTCCTTTGCTCTGTCCCCTTAACCTTGCCAGCCTCAGCTGTGCACATAGTGACATCTGGACAACCATGTCCAGAATGAACCATTGAAGCAGAAACTAAATTTTCTTTCTGCGTGTCAAATGGCCATTTAAAAGCTTTTATGAAACAACAAAAAAGAATTTGCTGCCAACCTTGACAGTCACACTGAGGTCAAACGGGCTTTAAATATGCCTTCTCGGGCACACTCAATCCAAGACTGGCTTTGGTATAAGCAGCCCCCAAAGGTGAGAACTGGCTCCCGGAGCAGTTTCACACTCCATCCATCTCTGAACTCGGCTCTTCCCCACAGTGTGGGACTAAGAATGAGAACCCACTGGCTGCTGCCACTGGGGTCCTCATCACTGCCCTGCCTCTCAGCGGGTAGGACAGAAGCCTATGGCCCCTCCTTGCCAATGGTGAATATGCCAGCGTATTCTCACCCTTTTGTAGCATTTATAGACATGGTATTTTCTGGTTCAGTAACACACACACACACACACACACACACACGCTCTCACTCTCACACACACACACACAATTCTGTAGGGAGAGTAAATCTATATCAAGGAAGATTGACAGTGTGGTGAGCGGACAGGACCTCAGGTAAATAACATGCCGAGTGGCCTGTGTCAGCGCAGCGGGTCACTAATTGAGTGCACACCTTTTAAAAAAATGTTCTTTATCCTCCTACAGGGCATACAAAACCATTGAGGATGATGACTTGAAGTTCCCCCTTATATATGGAGAAGGCAAGAAGGTAGGCACCTGTTTCCCCTGGGCTGCTATGGCAAAGCTGTGCCCCGCCGCCTCTCTGTGCACCCACGGTGGTGTGTGTGCTACTCAGTGTTATAGCTCTGACAGCTTGAAAGATATAGCACATCCCTCATCCATCAGGCCCTCCCGTCTTGAGGGCCTGTGGAACGGCACAGCCACGGGAGGAGGAGCGCAAGGGACTTAAGTCCATTTTGTAAAATGACATCTCCCTTCCCAATCTGCTGCAGTAGCTCTTTGTAGTGTTTAAACAAGACCCATAGATCCCGGGTTTGATTTCTGCCAAGTTGGGCAGCAGGCAAGCTGACCCTGTGGTGTCCATTTAGTGGAGGAGGCCGCCTGGGACGCCGAGGGAAGAAGGCCGCGGGCAAAGTCACACAGCTGGCGAAGGGCAGGGCCAGACCTGGAGCCAGGGCCAGCTTACTCCGGGGCTCCAGCCCATTCGTGGAGGTTCCCACCACAGGGGCTGAACCCCTGGGAGAAGATCCAGACCCTCACTGTGATGAGCTGTGCCGGGTCCGGGAGCCTGGCTCCTGCACTCCACACATCGACCAGCACCTTGGCCGAGGTGGCGGAGACTGGTCCCCTCCCAGGACCCCAGTCAGAACCAAGCCTTCCGGCGCCAGTCGTGGAAGCA